GGGGGTAGGGGTGTCGGCTGTTTCAACTCCAATACTTTCCTTGATCACAATCCTCAATATACAATTCAGAAAAGGACCTATTCCAAACATCAGTGCAAATTCAGCTCTGGATGGCCCTTCCTGTGTTCGTTGTTTAATTTGCAATGCATCCCCCAATGTGATCAATCACATTAACTCTGCCAAGATTACAACAACCAAAGGGTCTATCACGCCACTGGGAAAAACCAATCGCTGTTGACCAAATCTTTCGCAACAATGCTTCGTGGCCCAGCTATCATGATTAATCATAATGACCAAGAAACTGGAGTATACATGGGTAAACTTGCTCCACTGCCTGCAGTTCCAACAAATTTAGAAACATTATACATGGCATCAGTCAAGTAACAATCGATAACCTGTCAAATATTTTCTATCAGAAATGCTCACCAATCGTCCTCCCACCAAATCATAATGTGCATAATGGGGACCCTGATGGTCTCCAAATACTTTATAGGTAACCAAATTCTCAGGAAAAAGCTTCACAGTTTCTGGTTTGAACAATAAGAAGGAATAAAAATATAAACATCTGTGAAAACCATACGAGACAATTTGTACTTAACTAACCACAAGGTTACCACCTACCTTCTACAGCTTCAGGTGGGCAAATTAAATCTTGATCTCCTGCAACAGCTAGGACGGGGACATTGCTTTTATGTAGATGATCCCTGTAGAAAAATTTACCACTCCTATCACATAACCCCTTTTCTCGGAAAGCTGTTGTGAGCTGCAGAATAAGTTTGGCTGGGATGGTACCTTGAAACCACAAATATTATGCAAATCAGTACATAGCAAAGAAAAAAAGCAGAAAATTTGATAAATTCAAAATACAGCAACTAGAGATTACATTCAGAGGCAACTATCACCAGAAATCAGCAACAGAAATAACAAGGTATAATATCAGAAACCCAAGTTTTGTTTGAGGATCATGTTATTGATTTTCTGTGACATTTACATCAGTATACTCAGATGTTCATTACATAGAAACAGAAAAGCTTAGATTCCAGCAAGAAAGCTGTAATATTTCACAAGACGTGAAGACAAATATGCCCATACTTACAGAAGTTGTTTAAGACAAGCTTTTTTAGCAACTCTGGATGCATCATGTCCTCCGCTGATATTAGATTATTAAGCCATGCCAAGACGTAAGGAGGCCGAGACGATAGAGGATAAGCAGCCGCCAGTAATGTCCCCAATGGAACAACAGGGACATTAAGAGCTTGTGCAGGATCTGCCTGCATACAGGTGCCATGATATTACTTTCTGAAGGAACCTATTTCGCTACAACTTTTAAGTAGGTAGTTATCAAAATCACATCAACATAGCAACTAAGGCATATGACACTGGTTCACCCACTTACAAGAGGTAAGAGCAATTTGAGTGTCGATTTTGAAGATGTGTAATCAAGTGATGATGCCAAAGTAACAACAGCCTTTAGTTTAGGTTCCCTGCCTTCAGAACCTTACAAGATGATATATAACATACAATCAATGATGATATTATTGACATGAAAAGAAAAAGAAAGAATACAAAGCAAAAGCACATTAAAACTAATACTAACAAATACATTGAACAACTAAGTCAAGCTTCATTTCTCAAGTATCAAACTATAAATACAGATCTCCTGCTGTCTATAAGTTATGTTGAACAAAACAAAATTCTATGATACTAAGAAAATATTTGACCCTAACAGTTACACCGGTTTTGGGAGAAGCAAGTTGAAAATTAACTAAAGCAGCAACAAAATGCTATAACAGCTCGTTGTCTTTCCTTAGCCAAGCTAATACACTTGTGCCTTGCAATCATGACAAAACTCCCTACCTCATTCATATTCAATTTTGAGATGGGATATATCGTTTAAGCAATGAACCCTTGGCAGAATTTCAAGACAGATACTAACCAATGCCCAGGAATCAACAGGTTTGTTGTTAAACTCAACTCTAGAATCCACTAAATGAAAAGCATCCACATTCAATTATTTGGGGTCTGTTAAGTATCATTTCCTGGTTTACATTTTCTGTATTTAAAGATTTCTAATTAGTCACTTTCTACAAGAATAAAGTGAAGATATCAAGAGTAATGCTGATAATATATTGAAAGTGCTGCCTCTATGATACATGTATTCATTACATCATCATAGTAAAGCAGCATTGCATCAAGCATCCTGAGATTGGCAAGAGTACTAGAAACAGCTAAAACCATTATTTTCTCATTCTTGGATATGTAAAGATGCCAAAGCTGACAACAAGCTCACTCACATTTTGAGTGATTGATGCTGTGCTGGAGATGAGCGCTATCAAAATTTAATCAACATTTAACACAAAATCAGAACTACTCGATTCTGTACAAAGCTAAAAAGAGAAGAATTATTGTTTCAAGTACGAACCTTAATACATGAAACATAAGGGGAACTGAAGAAATATACCATTCAAATGTTTAGCAGTTGCTTTTTAACATCAATCATTAAATGTCATTAAGTGGGAGATGACCTTTATAAAGGCTCATCAGATAGTGTTTTCTATCATTCATTATAATTTGACAAGAGTACTACTAATTGGTCCAACTCTCACCATCCAATAATGAGGCCAACTACTCAAATTAGGGCTTTTATTATCAATGAGTAGTCAACCTAATTGTCAGACTTTGAGAATCAGACAAAGTAACATTTTCCATTTGGTAATTGGATTTCTGAAGTTGACAACTTTTCCTAATGAAACTAGTTGATGCACCCTGTCCACATGGCATTTGGATCCCATCTTCTTCTGCTTCCCCAATATTTACCAAAGAAAGAAATGTTAAAATAAATAACAAAATATACAAATATAACAGGACCAAAAGGTAGAAAAAGGCTCATTAGGATTGAAAGATGAAATTTAAAAGTACTGTAACTAGAAATGTGACATAGATAGGGCTCGTCCAGTAGAATAATAAAAATAAATAAATAAAGAACAAGAAAAAGAAAGCATCAGATATACCAATAAAAGGTTAAGCTAAATGAAAGCATAGTATACCCAGATTGAGAGCCAGCTTATTTTTGTATCACTGGAAACTTCAATATGCACTCTGTGAGGGTTTAATTGCTCTTAATTAATTTGATTATTAAATAGGTGATGACGCATAAAAAATTTGTACAGCTTAAATCATTATAATTTGTTTCCTGCACTGAATGTTGTAGATCTAAGACAGTTTTATAATAGTGGTCGATAAATTGTTATTTTAAAGCTTTGAAGAAGAGAAGTTCACCCACAAATTTCTCCTATAAGGTTTTTAAAGTGTAGTTCAGCTAATTGAGGGATGAATCCTGCTTTGCCTTTATGCAAGGATGAAAATCATTGCAATATAACATAAAATTCAAATGATGGTTTCTTACCACACCGTGACAGCATGGCATAAAGCAATATGCCTCCCATTGAGTGACCAATTGCAACCAATTTTCCATCATTTGGCTTTGTTTGTGCTCTTATGTATTCCATCTTTATGAAAGAAAATCAAAATTGTCAATTCAAACTAAAGACAGTGGACATGAATAGCAGGTAAAATGTAAAATAGCAAACGGAATTCATAACATTCTATTTAAGAAAGTAAAATAAAAATGAGTCAGCATTTGCATAGCCTTCCAGCATGGCAAAATGTCACCTCACCGCAGCAGGGACATCCTCCTCCAGATAGTGATCAAAATCCCAATCATACTTCACGATCAAGTCAAGTTGTTTTTGAAAATCTTCTATTGTAGAAGAAAGCCGCTCTTGTAGATCAATGAACTGAGGTGAAACAGATCGTTGGCCTTCTTCAATAATATTTACAAGTCTTTGACTCAGATCTCTAATTTGGCTAGCAATACCTGAATTTTGTTGTTTTTCCAATAAGTAGGAAAGCTTCCCCCTTACCTCCTCAAAGCGTTCAGATAATTGAGAATCTTCCAAAAGTTTTGATATTTGATCAAATAATTTAGCAGAGATAAGTCTTGATTGACCATCACTTAGAAAGCCAGAAAGTCTCTCAGACAAACGCATGAAAATTTCCGTCAACTTTGTCACCAATTTTGATTCATCCCATGCTGTTCCAATCCCTATCGAATCTTCTCCAAGAAAAGAAATCTCAGAATCTGAAAAGGAGCCAGAAACATTAGTTGGCTGCAGCTGAGCAGGAGAAACTCCATTTGTCACACTCTTAGCCACAGCTTCCATCTGCTCCGACACTGCATCAGCAGTTTCCTTAATTTCTTTGAAATTTGATCCCTGCACACTCAATCCAGCACCACGAACTTCAAGAATCCATGTGTCAAATCCTTGGCCAGACATGTATCTTGCAAACGAAGACTGCAGATGCATATTACATTTATCAGGAAAAGGATCATATATCAGTAAAGAGAAGAAAATAAAATTCAGCATCTCAAAAGTTATAAGTGAAAGTTGGAAGACAGCATCATTTATTTGACTTTGAGTGTAGGTATTCATCTAAGCATGTAAGAAAGGGCACAATAATTGGCACTCTCAACTGTGAGAGAGCCAGATTTTGTGACGTAATTCTTCCATTAAAGCATAAGCTATGCTTATTGACTAACCAAGGGTTTACATACAAATGATTCAATATGTGTATGACATGTTTTCTGATAGAAGACAAGAGGTTGTGACTGTTGATGCCATAGAGGCCCCATGGAGACTGAGCTGTTATACATGACTTTCTCATTGAGCATGGTTCAATAAGTTGCCTGAGGGCTCATAGTGGAGCAGACTTGGACTCAGAAATTATGACATCTCCCAGGTAGTTATCACCTTGATAAACAGAAGTAATGATACACTATGATTTATCTTGGTGCAGTTATAACGTGGCCAGCTGATAACCCACAACATGTAAAACTAAATGGTCCTTATGGAGCTCATCAGATGTTGGTTTCCATGAAGCATCCTAAGGATTCAAGAAAACCCAAACTGAACAAGTTTTGGGGTTCTAGTAATTACACAAAAAAGATCATATGTTCATTACTCTTGGCCACTCCATCAGCAAATACAGCTAAACAACATATCGTGTGCACTTGGGCAAAATGCACTGCATAACCCATAGAACCTGAAAAGAAAATATTTGTCCAATTGTACAAATGCCAAAAAAGTGCATTGAAAAATTAAACGAAATAGAAGACTGGTGCACATGAAAGAATAGCTTCTTCTTTTTTTCACTTTTATAATAATTTCAACTTAAAAAAAAAAACCCATTTAGCATGAATTCCGCATCCCAATTACAACTAAAATAAGAAGAAAATGATAATAGGATTTAGCAGTGTTTTACACTTTCACTTTATACTCTGTTGTTTACATCCTTGACGAACCGTTTTAATTCTTCTTTTAACTACCAGAAAATAAGAAATGTAGACATTCACTCGAAGCAAATTCTAACCCAACTATCCTTCATATCGCTGATTAAAACAGAAAACCTCATATTCAACTATTTAAAAACTAAGAAAGAAAAAAAAGGAAATTAAAATAAGATTTTTGAAAGAAAAAATTACCCCAGGAGAAAGATCGTAACCAATGGCATTAGTCCCTACTCCAGACAATAATAATAGCGGGTGATTTCTCGGAGGCGCCTGTTAGGAGCAATAATAATAATTTCATTTCATCTATCTATAAACAAAACGATTAGAAAAGCAAACAAACATTAGTGATAATCATTCTGGAAAAGTGGAAAGAAAAACAAAAACCTGAGGAGGAGGGCGATAGCGCCAGAGGGCAAGGCGCCAATCAGAATTAGGCACGGACACATAATGAAGCTCATCGGCGGTACAAATCGAAGGCTTCTCGGGAACGCTACCGTCGTTGGAGAAAGCTCTAGGGAGCGGCCCGAACGCCGCTGTGGAAGAATGCAGAGGTCGGGGGAGAAGGCGACGCGCAGGGACGGAATGAGGGAGCGTCAAGCTCCTAGTATTGAGAGAGAGAAAGGTGGAGGAAGCTATGTGAAGAGCGGAGCGGATATCGGATTGGATTTGGAGCGTAGACATTCTGTTTTTGCTTTCGGTTTGCGTTTGTGTTTACTTTTGCTTTTTACCGGGAGAAAGCGTGGAGTTGCAAATGATGCGGTCGCTGATTCGACATTTGACGCTGTGGCGTGCTTTTGTACAAAGTCTAGTCTTGGCTTTGGGATTTTGTATAGGATTTCACATCAAAGAAGATTGAATGATGATCGACGTCGGCGTGGCTTTGGCGTATGGTGGCCACGTGGTGGTGCCACAGCAAAGTCCAGAAAAATGGAAAATGCAACGAGGCATCTATTTAGCTTGCGAGTCAATTATGACGGGTAGAATTGTATAGGTGATTAAGTTGCCTCAACGGAAAGTGTCTTTATTTTTAATAATATAATATTATTTATAAAATCTTGTTAAATATTTAAAGAGAAGGCTTTTGAGAACAAGCATTATAATGACTAATATAGTTGCAAAAGCTAATTAGTTCTTTATAAGGATCAAATAGTTGACGAATGGTTAGGTTACTTCATTAATCAAGATATATTAATGACTAATCATTTAAGATTGCCTTCATGGCCTGATGATGGAGCATTTATATCTCTGATCACTTTGTACTTCTTTTTCAATATTAAGAGAATATTTTTCTTTTATTTGGAACCAACAGTTGCGTATATGACATTCTAAGCCATATGATTTTATTAGAGTATTTCATAAGTTAATTGATAACTCTATGATATAAAATTATTTTGACTTATTTTGATAGTTTTTTAGTTTAGTTATTATAATAATGCATAGAAATTAGCAAGTATTATTTAATTATTTTAAATTAGTTATTTTAGGTAAGTCAATCTAATCTTAGTTAATTTATACTTAATTTGATATTAATGTGGTTAAGATGGGTTGTTATAGATTTATTTGTGTAGATAGTCGATTTTGAGTAATACTTATTCTCTAAAAAATCAATTTATTGCATAACATTACATAAAAAATAGTGAGAACAATCATTATAAGTGAAGTACTGCTTCACACAGAACAACTAGAATAAGTAGAGCATTACTCCATGTGGAACACTTAATACAAGTAGAATAACTATTTCGTACAAAATAACAATTTCACACAAATGATAGTGAAAGTAATCCAAAATAGGTTGCAAGGTTCATGGGTTACTTTCGTATTGGGATGTTCCGGAGAGTTTGGTTTGGTGGCTCAGATATGAAAGTAGTTAAGAGGTCTCTCTCTTAACCTTTTTCTGAAGTACAAGTGTTACCTGCTTTTACCTTGTTCTTTTGTACCTGTTCACAAACAGCTTCTTCTCTTATACCTGTTCATGTACAGCTTCTTCTCTTGTACCTATTTACGTACAGCTTCCTCTCTTGTACCTATTCACGCACAGCTCTTCTTTATTAGCTTCTACTCGAGAACAAGTCTTATTAAATATAATTACTTCAACAATCACATATAAGTTTTTAACCGTTACTCAACATTAGCTCTCAGTAACGGTTATCTAATATC